CACTCTTTCTTTGGAAAAATTGAGTTATGTTGCAAGTGGCTTTATACTTTTGAAAACAGGGGATATTTGGAAATCTTCTTATAAAAATGTATGTGAATCATTTTGCTTCCTGAAATAAAGAGAACAATGGTTTCCAAACACGCTGAATTCAATAAAGTTTATGGCAAGCCATGAAATACTCACCTTAACTCGGAAAGTTAGTTTTCATGGGTGGCTTTATACGTAATCTAGTATTGATCTTGGTATTTAAGATTGTTAGAAACGTAATAAAAAGTAAAGAGTATGCTGGCGCGAGCCATGTGGCGCACACCGTCCGTTATGGGTTAAGCTGTCGAACGATATGGATTGAACGTATCGACTTTTGCGCAGAATGAGTAGCGCCTTACAGTGCTGATTGAATCAAGTCACAAACCGGAATTCCCTTACGGTCTAAGGCCATTGCATAGTGCGTAGTGCATCTATGTATGGGCGATCTAATGTCAACATACACGACAGAACGGCCACTCTTGTCAGTTCACTCTCAATCACCGATCAACCGTCTCCCCTTCGAACCGCACAAACCTATTCACCGTATCGTTCTCTTTAGTAAAAGGAGAAGAGCTTCAAGATTGCTCCTAAAGGAAGCAACCTTGAGAAGATAAGGAGCGAGATGTGGCACTTTCACAGCGAAAGGTGCGCTGGTTGCTGAGCAGGACTTCGAAAGCGCTCCGCCCCCAAAAGCGATCCGCCCACTAGTTTACTTGTTGATTTGGACGAGCTGCGTGGCCAGCAGCGGCGCAAATGGAAGCATCTCGATTAAAGCGTGGTTTGGCATGGTTGCTATCAACGCATTGCGGTGAACACTTTCATAAGTCCAGTTTTTCTGAGCAGTTACCCGTTCATGAGTTCGTGCTTTCTTGACGGATTTCTCTGCTTTTTACGCCACTGGCGTACCAGTGAGCACCACCGCGTCATACTAAGCCCTTCTTAAACTTATCGTAGTCGCTGCCTTTGAGCTGAAATCCCCTCCTGAAGCAATGTGGACACTATTTATCAATGCAAATTTGGATGCATCTTGACTCGGAGAGGACATGGTAGCTCACGAGCTTTGGAATCCTATTGTTACGACAGTTGTTCGATGAGACAGCGTGTTCTTGTCTCGAAAAGCCGCTTGTGATTTCCTGGCTGTAAAGATTAGCGAGATTAAACACAGAGATGCAGAGGAAAGTTGAAGAGTTAAGAGGATTGTGGGGGAGGCGTGTCGTATTCAGATAAGAGAAAACGCAGCACTCAACGTAATCGATAACTGATAATTCACTCACGAAAACTTCAGAAAAAGGGGTAATTCCGAAGGTAATGTTTTCGAAGGGCATAAGGGTTTGTGTAAATGTTCGGCTTGAGGACAAACTTCACGGTTTGTTTGTTGATTGAAACTTTCTTCGAAATGAACAATGATTTTGAAGGTGAATTCGATCCATGTTGTTCTGCTGAGCCAGTTTACTCAAAATTTCGTTACTGATTCCGGGTTTTCTCGATTAAAGGACGAATTCACGATTAGAATGAAGGTCGAAGAAGGAGTAATTCACCTAGTTGAGGGACCCGCGGACCTCCTAAGGGTGCGGACTGAAGCGCAATTGGCACCGAAGGAGTTGACCTCGGCGACCTATTAAGGCTCAATCTTGGCGCGGTGGGCCAGTGCACGCCCACCGATCATCTGATCGCCGCAGGTCTATACGTGGCGAGTGATTAGATAGGTGAGAGAGCGTAGTGTTGAAGAGGGTGCAAAATCAACGGGCAAAGGCATGGCGTCCCATTTATCGGGTTTCTGGCGCTCATGCCGTTTTCCGTCGTTTTAGTAGTACCACCCGACCATCCTTAAGTTAAATTTGAAAATGGCTGTTGCCCATCCAGCTGTGAAGCGGCTAAAGGCCACGTCATCCATAAAGATTGTACAGGGATTTCTTGGGTCACATGCGAGCTCAGTTTGCGGCCCGCGTAGATTCCCGATTATTTTGAACCCTATCTTTCCTCTTTCCATCCCGGAGGGCTTCTCACTCACGAATTTATAAGTTTATGTTCCAAATTTGCTTATGTGCTGTATCCAAGCGCGACGGGGTGGCAAGAAGCGGCGTTTTCCACACGCACGGCCAGGGGATCGAGAATCGACCGCACGCCGTCCAGTCTAGCCAGCCTTCTATCACTGCTAGTTCAGTAGATTAGCTCTGGAGTTGTCGAGAAAAAAAATTTGATGACTTGAATACAAGCGGTTTGAGAAAGATGCGGAGGGTAACGCGTCAGCGGTGCACATGGATCGCACGTGGCCGCCAAGGGCTGGAAAGCGATCGCTAATGGGGAGAAAAAGGTGAAAAAACAAAGTTTCGTGTGCAACCTGCGTTGTACACCATTCGATAGTATTTTTCCATGGGAAATCGAATGGTGCACATTTCAGGTTCCAAGGTCCTTCTGGACAAGCAAAAAACTGATCATATCACAAGGACATGACGAGCAGTGATGTTTGGGGGTCACACCACGGAAGGAACGCTCGTCTGCGACCAAATATTTTACCTGATTTTTACAGAAAAGTAACCGTAGTCTCACGCAGGTGGAGAGATTTCCTCGCTATCTTCTCAGGTTTCCACAAAACATCTCCTCTAAAAAGTGGGGAATGTCACATATTGGGCCTACCACTACTGCAATCCTAGATGAAGCTCTTTCGAAAATTGAAATATAGCAACTTGTAAATCTCGAGCAGAGCTATTAGCTGGTATAACATTCAAATCGCGCGAACCATTTCTTCAAGAGGTATGCGAGGCGACGGTTATTGCCAACACTGTAATCGCTTTCTCTGCACAATTGTATGGGCGCAAGGTGGGAAATATACGTACATGACATCTGGTGCCGTAAGGTATTTCCCCGAACAGGAGAGGAACCCCTCCCTGGTAATGTATGCTCTCCCCGAAAACTCGGGGAAAGAAAATAGCATCGGTTCTCGGGTATGTCTCCCAGACTGCATGTCAATTGCAAGGATATTTCGCCGTTTGCATGTCAATCGGGGAGAATCCCCCGAGAACTGGAGGCGTGGCCCTTTCCCCGAGAGTTTTCGGGGAGAGCATACCTTACCAGGGAGGGGTCCCTCTTCTGTTCGGGGACGCATACCTCAAGGGCCCTGGTGGGTTCAAAAATGGGGCCGAGGAAGTGGAGAAGAGCTCGAAGGAAAGGCTTTGTGAAATCATGAAGGCGGTAGCTAACGATAAGAGCCATGATAAGACTGGAGAGATAATGGGAATGAGGAGAGGCGAGACAGTCAGACGAGGGATTGACAATAGTTTTCATGGAATAACTTATTGTCATTTCAAGCATATTAGTAGGTATACACATGGTTAGACTCGCCACAGAGAGGCGAGTCTATTGCTGTAAAGATCTTTCCATTTTACCCGCTTTCAAGGAAGTTATAATGGTGCGACGGTTTGCGACGCTACAGAACCGTCGCGACGCTACAGAACCGTCGCGACGCTTCAGAACCGTCGCAACGCGTAGATGTTACAAAAGTTAGGAGCAGTATTGTATCTGTGTAGTCTGACTGTGAAGTCATCTGGCAAAATTTTCACAAAATTCGCATGAAGCAGAAAAAACTACAGTGTTTGCCCTTTTTGCCTCATTCATTCTTATCCTCTCCCTACCGCTCTGCGGCCGTTTTATAGGGGAAATGTGGACAGAGCCTAGTGAAGCCTACGATGCGTGTTTTGCAGCGAAATTTATGCCTCCCGACGATCTGGCATGGCCGTCCCGCAACTGTATCTCGTTGCCGTCTGATTCTAGTCGTTCAGCAGAAAAACCATAAGCGTCCAAGAGGGCAGCACGATCAGCATCAGTGCGAAATCTGTAGGCAATGAAAGGGTCCCATCCTCCTGGTTCTAAGCAGTTCCTCATGGTTTTTTCTTCATTTCTGCTTCAATGACCACCTCTGCCCTTAATTCCAATGAGCTACCTTTTCATCGCCCTTGAAGGACGAGTTGACCCTGAAAAGCCAACCCATTCCAAATTAACTTAGAGATGGTCAGTGATGCAGCCACCACTACGAATGTCCAAATGAAGGTAGAATGCGTGTCGCATCCCAAAAGGGATTGATCAACGGCAAAAGCTTTATCCTTTATCCTTATTACCCTCATCCCACTGACCACCTCAACCTTAATTTCTGATGAGCTGTCTTCGTGAAGTGAACTCCGACTTCAGGATCTATTTGATAAAAAAAACTTAAATACTTTCAGCATTCCAAAAGGTTGAAAAGAACGAGACATCACAAAATTGTATGGTGTTTTCAGCAACTTTTCGCTTCGGGAATCTCGTTGATCGCATTTCTTGTGTGCGGAGGCGTCGAAACGTGGTATGCCACAGGATTCGACCACATGTCCTTCTTCATTATGGTGAGTCCTGTAAATTTGAAATTAGAGGATTGTATTTATTGGATCTGCAGTGCCCTGACAACTTGGAAAACCGCCCATCTAAAAATTTTCAGGCCGTCGGTAACGGAGTAGTATCCGGTTGTGCGGGACTACCTGGCTGTCAAATTCAGTTTGTTGTGAAGGGATGGGCGGTGGCAGCAGTGAGTTTTCTACAACTTTGGCTCTGTACATTGTGATTAGAGATGAACGCTCTCTTGTGAAGCATCAACTCTCTAGGGATTACTTGCCTGACATCTAGCTTTTATCGTGAAAGACAAAATGATGGGTTTCATGAATCTTTCCGAGCTGTGTCATGCATTCGACTTCATGTATAACCGTAGAGACGTCCTCAGAGGGCGTGGTTCCATACTCATTTGATAGCCGGTGGCGTGATCACCTGATAGTAAGTACATCTATGCTCTAGGATAGTTTAGTAAAAAAATCGCTGAGATAACGGCTTGATTGGCACCTGTTCTTATCAGGAAGGCATCTTGGGTCATGCCCCCTCTTCCAAAACGGTTTTTTCTTGTATGTTAGTAGTGGAACATCGAACTGTGGTTCCTTCCTGAGCGGAATTTCAAGGATAAAAAAGGACGAAAGGCTGGTCCGTGGTTCGATTCCCCGTAATGACAAAGTTGTGCATTTTTGACTGCCAGGCGTGAGGTCGCGGAATGGTGACCGCGGTTATTAGTGCATGCCTTTTTACTATGAAGACCTTCAGTGACCCATATGGGTAGGATTTTGCCAAAATCTGGCGACGAGAGGGTGTGCGCTTGAGTTTTCTCAGCACCTTTTTCTGCATTCAGACGCCAGTCACAGAAAAGAGGCCATAGTTCTATGCTCCATATGTGTTCCTATGAAATGCAAAAAACCGCTTCCAAAAAGCGAACCACGATTGGAGGCCCTTTCTGGTTAGCGACAGTAATTCGTACTAATCGAAAGTCATAATCGGAAGCTGTCCTGATTTACGGAAGCGTTGAATAATTTGCCACTGTTGGTATCATGAAGGCAAAATAGGTGCGTAGAAAGGTTCAATACCTGTAAAGCTTGACTGGATTAATTACGTGTCTATGCGGATGCATCAGCGAAATGTTATACCTTAATGAAATCAAAAATAAACTATCCCTTATGTTACCACATACTGACATCTCTCGAAATGCCAAAAGGTGCAAAAGTAATCCATATGCTCAACAGAATAATAACTGGGACTAACTACGCCCATCCCCTTTACTAGCCCAACATGGGAACTGGTGAAGACGCAGACAAGGAGGAAAATGTTCGCTTGGATAAAGGATAAAGGATAAAGCATTTGCCGTTGATCAATCCCTTTTTGGGATGCGGCACGCATTCTACTTCCATTTGTACATTCGTAGTGGCGTTTGAATGCGATGTGGCCTATACAATGACTTGCGGGGCCAGCCGATGTACAAGTCAGTGTTTTTATCCCAGAAGTCTGGTACCAATTAACCGACCCCGGAGGGATGGAAGGCTTGGTTGGCCCGGGCGACTCACGACCCAGGATTTGATCCCCGGACCGCTCGCGTGGTAAGCGTGCCACTTGCCACGACACCACTTCCATTTGGATTAAGGCATAAGAAAGTTAAGAGGATGTCGCCCAAATCAGTGATCACATAAGCGGCATGCTTGAAGGCTTGCACCAGGATCAAATCGGTGCATTTCTTACACAAGAACACGAATAAGGTGCGAAATGGACCGGAAGCAGAAAAAAGGAAAAGAATCCATCGAAAATGCTCAGATTAAAGGCAAGATTCAGGATTAAATTATGAGGTAATTCCACTCAAATGTGAAAGTAGGGTAGGAAGGTGGACCAGTGGAGAAAAAAGGAAAAAAATCGTGAAATACACAGGAAATACGAGCCTTTTGCTCTACGCTGCGGAGAAGTTCAAAAGGCCGGCAGGGAGATGAGAGATAATGTGAGCGCGGAGAGCGCTAGAGAAGTCCGAGTAGAGAGAGCATAGCAGATCAACATTGCGACGCAGACAAGATATCGAGCGGTGGGCGGAGCGTGTCGCAACAGGTGGAGCGTGTCAAAGTTCTTAGCGCCTAGCGTCTAAAGTAACGCTTTTCGAAGTAGGGAAGTGACGCGACCTCTGCACTTGCGTACCTAGCGCTTCTAGCCACGTAAAGGCTCATTAAGGGTCTGAGCCCGAACTTTGCCTTTAAGGGCTGACTTACCTTCGTAAAAGGCTGTGCTAAGGCATGAGAGACTGAGCGCGGAGAGGAGAGTATGAGGCGAGAGCACAGATGAGAGGCGCCAGACAACAGCCTGATAAGAGAAAAAATGCAGCTGCAGCTTACTTTGCAAGGCCCTAGCGCTCTTGTCGGGTGATTTCCGTGCACGGGAATGCCACATCTGTGATTGTCCTCTAGGGGTCTATCCTGCAGACCGACGCGAATCACACCACTTCTGCTGGACTGTGTCTTTAAACGTGCGCGATGAGACCTCTTGCAAGATCACTGAAAAGAATTGCTGTTTTCTGAGAAGTAGCTCATCATTACTGGCTGCCAGATACAAATTTCACATACTGTATTCAGGCATTCTACTTCCTGTCTGGTCTACTCTATCTACTCGACATGGGACTGGTATTCGCTAAGAGAGACAAGTAAGTGTCGATGCAGAATGTAGCTCCCTATAGAGTACATGTCGCTCTAACACACTGCTTTTGAGTCACAGTACCCAAACAGTAGCTGAAGCTATTTGACACTAGTTTCACATTTGTGCACACTGATAGATGGCTACTCCAGAAAGTCTCCTCAAATGTTGAATAGGCAGTGACCTCAGTTTGGGCTGATTCTAACAATAAGAGGAGGTATCTATCATGAATGCTCCGTCTTGTTGCTCGCACGAATGGTCGATTTAGCATACGCACCTAAGGTTGGAGAGATCTAGAAAGAGTTCTGAACTATTTAGAAACTTTCGACTTGTGAATACCACCTACGTTCTCTGTAGTGCTTGTAGAACATTGCTGGAGCTTCTCGGAAAAGGTGTATGGGGCCGTTTGCTCTTGGGTTGAAACGTGCGCTAGCTGCGAGCCATCTCATATCACGAAGGTTGCCACTGAACTCCACTGTCGGCCGCAGTCGGGACATCAATCAGCGCTTTGGGTGAAGTCTTCTCTACATTCTCTTGACATGCGACTCTGGTTTCGCTCTGCGGAAGGAGAAAAGGAACACTGAGGTAAATCTCGGTAGAGATTACCCATGTAGACTATCAGACCCGCTATCAGAGAGGGTCTAGAAGCTACCAGAAGCTACCACACACATTCAATGGCTGCGAAGCTTGGGTTTGATTACATTAGATTGTTACATTATAAATGTCCCTTTTGGACGTACCACAAATTTTCTTTGGGACACCAGCAACCCGGCTTCACTGCCTTATT